TGGAACCAGAAGGTTGATGATGTTGCTCCCGATTACCTCACCACCAACCAATCAGAAGAATGTCCACGAGCTGATCACACACCCCACAACCCCTCTCCCTCACTGTGTCTTTAGAAAACCTTTCCCTGAAAGCTACTGGCAAGTTTGGGCCTTTAGAGCGTTAGCTGCCTGGACTCCTTGCCTGGAGCCCTGCACTAAATGCTGCACTCTCCCTCACCCTGACCCAGTGTTGGTAGATTGGCCTAAATGCATGCAGGCGAGTGGACCCAAGCTTGGTTCAGTAACAGTGACTCAAGTCAGGTTTTGGGCCACCAGATCGTAAGATTTCCTGTTACATATATCAAGCAACCTACCAATTTCATTCTTAGGGAAAACATAATCAATTACTGACAGCCAAGAATCCCTTAATACTTCTTCTCTGCTGCCAGCAGCTGTAAATTGTTGTCTTTGGTAGTTAAACCACTAACACTTGGCCTCTGCTGCATGAAATCCCATCATCCCCACTGAAATCAGGAAGCGTATTGACGGGCGTCTCTCACCACAGAGCTTTTCAAATTTGCAGATACTCCCTTCACTCAGTGCCTTAAGAAGGGAGTGTCTTTGGGGCTGAGCATGTAGTTGGAAAGAGAGTGAGAAGTTCATACGTGATAAATCCACTCCTGCGTTCATACCTTCCCAAGCCTTCCCATACCTTCCCAAGCCTGTGCCTACATCACATCAGGGATATCCTGGCATCTCTGTGTAATTAAAGAGGCCAACATTGAGTCCACGTTTCTGCCAACCAACCAAGTAAACTTTTAGAGCCACTTTCAATTGCACAGGAGTGCCTGTGATCAGTTTATGGCCTCTGAGCTCCAAATTCACTCTTCAGTGCCTGCTCTGCAAAAACAGATGAGACCCTTCAAGCCTTTCTTCTTATGGTGTGCACGGTGTTAGGCTGTCAGCAGAGGGCGCGGGAGGACACTGCAGGAGGAATGGGGCTTTTCTTTCTAGCTCAGATGTGCTGCTTTCTTTATTCTATTGATAGTTCCTGCTTCGTGGTCCCTCAGTGGTCAGAGTGTGTGGGGACACCCAGTGGTGCTCTGTGCCAGCTCTGTGCCACCTCTTAGTGACTTCACAGGCCAGCCTGAGGACCACTTCACTGTGGTCCTCCCAACATGGACATGGCATGTTCACTTCTAATGCCAGCAGCAGCCCCGACACGCTCTGAGCGCCTGGCTTCTGCCCTTGGTTTGCCTGTGCCCTGGGGCGTGGTTCCCCGTTGCTACCGACAAGGGTTCTTGGCCTTCCTTAATAGAAATGGATGAGAGGCCAGACAAAAAATTCAGGCAAGGCTTTACTGGGGCCCCTGCTGCAGCAGGTGGGAGTGAAAACAAGTAACATGTCCCCTTGCTCACTCCCCAAGCTCAGAGGGGAGCTGGTTCCTTATCTGGGGTGAAGGTAGGGGTGGGTCCAGGGGCCAGACCAGAGGGGTGGCTTAGGTGTCTGCCCACCTCTCTGGTCGTGTTGAGTGCAGGGGGCATGCTCAGTATGCTGCTTTTTGCCCCTGACACCCTGCTTTTGCTTCTGGCTCTTTAGAAGTAGAAGTTGGGTTTTTTAGTCCTTTTGTATCTTGTCCATAATTTGCCCCAACTGCCCATGCACGCAGTTATTTTTAGTCCCTTATAGTTTCTTTGTATTTTGTCGATCAAGGAGACATTTGCCTAGGTGCAAGCACTGCAGCGAAGGGTCCCAGGTCCCAGCCTGTCTCAGCATGACCCTCCCCTTCCCAACATGGCCCAACCGGGCCACACATGACTATGGTAACACTCGGGGTCCTGGCTTCCTACGAGCTTTCACTTGGCAGCCTGGGATCGCCTGCACCCTGGCCACTTCCTTCCTGCTGCCTGTGCAGGTGGGCCAGCTCTGGCCTGGGCAGTCCAGCAACCCCTCTGCTGGCCAGTGCGCTCTGAACCTGCGCCTTGAGGAGGGAGGGACCTCCTTCCGAGTTTGTCCTTCCTTGGGTCCTCTCCCTCAGCCATAGGCACCCTTTAGAATTTTTATACTTACTGCCCTATCGTAGTTTACTAACTCTTTACATTAAACTTCTCATGTTCAAATTACGTGGTTTATCTCCAGACTGACCTGAGATTCAACATTAAGAATCTGTGTTAAGTGCACCCATATTAATAGATTGACACTTTGGCAGTCCTTGTAGAGTCATGGTTACTGCTGTAGCAGTCACAGTGGAGTCACAGTGGGAAGGACTTTAGCAAATATTCAAATCGTGCTCAACATCAGAGAATTCATACCAGAGAAAAAGCTTGTGAATGCGTGAGAAGGCCTTCAACCAAGTTAGTAACTTATCCAACACCATTGAATTCATACTGAAGACTCTAAGTGGAGTCAGCGTGGAGAGGGATTTAGCTGAAGCCCCACATTTATCCAACCAGAAAGAAACCTTACGAATGTGATAAATATGAAAAGGCATTTTGGGAGCTGCTCATCTCCAACTAACTCAAGGGAGTACTGGAGAAAAGCTTTGTGACTGTAGTCAGTGTGGGAAGAATTTTAGCCAAGCTCAACCTTCATTCAATACCCAGAGAGTTTATATTATAAAGAAATTGGGGGACTTCTTTGGTGGTCCAGTGGCTAAGACTCTGAGCTCCCAATGCAGGGGGCCCGGGTTTGATCCCTGGTTAGGAAACTAGATCCCACATGCCGCAACTAAGACCCGGTGCAGCCAAATGAACAAATATTAAAAAAAAAAAAAGAAAGAAATTGGGGTCAGGTTGAGGATATACTGCCAAGAAGCAGGAAGAGATAATCAGAAATGTATTTCGTAGATTTCATTAAATGTGATAACCTCTGAAATGCCAAGCAATCCCACGTGACTTATGAGACTCAGCCAACTACCTCTCTGCTAAGCCAGTGACTTTATCAAGATTACTGTTGGGAGAATTGCAGGCTCAGGGAAAACTAGAGGGAAGAATGTAACAAAAAAGAACTTCATGTGATTGAAAGTATGCATAACCCACTTTCACTGGATGGATAGAAACTTTTTTAAAAAGTTAAAAATATTATAAGACTATAAAAGTGTGTGTGTGTGTGTGTGTGTGCGCGCACGTGCGTGCGCACACAGTTTACAAAACCAATCTGAATGGATGTAAATTCTAGTAAAAGAGGACCTGAAGTAGAGGTCAAAAACGGGCAATATGCAGTTGATTCTGCCTGGCAGAATCACAATATTTTAGAATTCAAATGCTTTTTTTTTTTTTTTTTTTTTTGCGGTACGCGGGCCTCTCACTGTCGTGGCCTCTCCCGTTGCAGAGCACAGGCTCCGACGCGCAGGCTCAGCGGCCATGGCTCACGGGCCCAGCCGCTCCGCGTCACGTGGGATCTTCCCGGACCGGGGCACGAACCCGTGTCCCCTGCATCGGCAGGCGGACTCTCAAGCACTGCGCCACCAGGGAAGCCCTCAAATGCTTTTTTTAAAAAAAATTTATTTATTTAGGCTGAGCGGGATCTTCGTTGCAGCACGCGGGATCCTTTGTTGTGGCACATGGGCTCTTTAGTTCTGGCACGTGGGCTTCTTAGTTGTGGCATGTGTGTGGGCTCTAGTTCTCTGACCAGGGATTGAACCTGGGCCCCGAGCATTGGGAGGGCAGTGTCTTACCCACTGGACCACCAGGGGGGGTCCCTAGAATTCAAATCTTTCTAGGTGAGCAATTTCTAGCTCACTGAAGTTGCCATCACACCAGAAATATTTTATATCCTGTGACTTTCTGTTGCCACATACACACACCAGCCTGGCCCATGAAGGTATGCATCTAACAAACTGACAAAGAAAATGAGGCTGATGAAAGTGCTCTTGGGAAACCAACGCCTTGCATAATGATGGGGTATTTTTTTTTTAATTGTTTTTCCTGATGTAATCTGAGGTTTTTTTGGCTGCGTTGGGTCTTTGTTGCTGTGCGCGGGCTTTCTCTAGTTGCAGCGAGCAGGGGCTACTCTTCATTGCGGAGCACAGGCTCTAGGCACATGGGCTCAGTAGTTGTGGCATGTGGGCTCAGTAGTTGTGGCACACAGGCTCTGGAGCACAGGCGCAGCAGTTGTGGCGCACGGGTTTAGCTGCTCCGCAGCATGTGGGATCTTCCTGGACCAGGGCTCGAACCCATGTCCCCTGCATTGGCAGGCGGATTCTTAACCACTGCACCACCAGGGAAGTCCTATAACGGGGTATTCTTTTAGGACTTCAGACAAAAGAGAGCATTTGGCTTGCCATAAGGTTACGCTTTGTGCCAAAACCAAAACAAAACACTCGTATGTACTGTGTGCTGTGTGTTAAGCACCATACCAGGAAAAGCACTATATCAGCAACTTTATATACATGATCTTATTTAATCTTTACATCAAAGACCACGTGCTGTTTCTACTCTCCCTTTAGAAATGGGTTCAGGGAAGTAATTTGCCAAGATGATGAGGCCGGGAGCAGCCCTGTTGTGGTGCTGAGCCGGTGCCGTCAGGAGAAGAGGAGACAGTGGCCTGGGTGCTGTTGGTACAGTGGATCGCGGGCGAGGGGGCGGACCAGCTGCTGGGGGCAGAGGGGCTGGCAGGTGGGCCTCTCCTCACTGCTCGCGCTCTGGCGCTGCTGCTGAGTTCAGGCTCAGTCCTGGTTGTACAGCTGTTGAGGTGGTGCCGTGTTCTTTATTTCTCCATTCACCTTTAAAATAAAACCTCGTCCACTGAAGTTCCTGAGGTTTCTGCTGGTCCTTGAAACCTGAAAGGGCCTAATACAAAGCTTTAAAAGCTTCAAATTTTTTTTATTGTGAAAAGTACAAGAAGCCATTTACAAGTCCCAAAGCACCAGAATTAAGGAGAACACATAATTTTTATACACACATATTTTTCATACAAAAGGTTGATCTTTATAGGAATTTAAAATAAATAATCTGAAAATCAGTGTCACTGATTGCAAAATAGGTATCTCGCTCTTTGACTCTCTCAAGGTGACCAGGCTCCTAAGTAGCCAAAAGATGAGGCGTTTGACATCTGTTTCGAGCCTGGGTGGCGAGTCTCTGGCGGAGATTTCTCACTCTCTCCATAAGATCCCATTCCATGGTGTCCCAACGTGCTTTTCTTTGGTTTAATGAAACTTGAAAACAAAATTTAAAATTAACAACAGTTAATTTTAGCAATGGTATAGTGTTTAAAGGTAAATACGTGGCAAAAAATCAATAATGAAGTGAATATTCTAAAAACAAAACTTCTTAAACCAAAAGCCTAACATGTTACCTGCCCATGTGGTTCCATTTACAAGTCAAATATTTATTCGTTGAATTGAATGAATGCTATTAGAGAACTTATCTGCTTTTGGTTAGCTTTTTTTTTTTGATTTGGGAATACAGATGACCTTTTAAATTAGGAAGAAAGCTTGTTTAAGAGAGAATTTGAGTTCTTTGCAATAGTAAGTTTCTTCACCATGGTGCTTATTGTAATGAGAAAATTCCAAGGTGCCAAAATTAATATTGTGAAATGTACACCATGACCACTTCTCCTAATGTTTAAATAAATAAATCAAGTGCTTTTTATAGTGGCCAACGGCAGGGAGAGTCCAGAATCAAGATTAGAGCATTACAATGTGTCCAAGTGTAACAGTCATTTAACATTGATTTAGAGGGGCTAGTAAATACTGGAATTCAAAAAAGAAGCATCTTAAAAATATACTTCTCTGAAACTTAGTTACATATTCAAATAGCTTCAATTTCTGAAAACTGTTTTTCCCCCAAGGAACAAAACATTTATGCTTTTCTTATTTTGCTGCCAAATGAGAAACTTGCCAAATGTCCTCAACTGGATTTTGAAATTTAGAACTATCTAGTTAAAAAGTTCTGACGTGTCAGAATAGAGAACAGTTGACAATCTCCTGTCCTTTCATTTGACTTACACATGACTTTTGGTTTAATTCACATCCTGACACAGAATTTAGAGATGCACATAAGAGTATGAGTTAGCAAGGATATTTTACACAACACTGGAACTCATGACTTGTTATCAGGTATATTTCTTATAAAGCTGGTCTTTTGGGGACATTATACAAATCTGTTCTTCTAAAAGAACTCAAAACACATTGTTAAATTCTGCTTCACTTGTATGACAGTTTTACTGAAAAAGTTGGTTGAAATAAAGTCTAACAGAGTTTCCAGTCCCCTCCTCCCCTCCTTTTAAACCCAAATCAAGTACTTTACTGGGGAAACTGTTAGCTCCTTTATGGGCTTAATGCTGTGACTACATTTCTGTAAGATGTTTCCATCCCATCCCTTCCAGAAATAAACAAAAACCTCCAGTTAATCAAGTCAAGGGATCAAAAGGCAACTAATAAACATGGAGCCACTTGCCCTTAGCAGTTCTGAGCGAGCTGGCCCTGCAGTACATCTCAGGGCCCAGAGCAGACACATGTTTCTAATGGTTGCTGGAGGGAACTCAGCCCAGAATAAGAGTTGAGAAAATTCAAATATGTAATAGCTTTGAAAACTAATCCTGAGATTTTCTTTTCACAGGGATGTAAAAAACTAGTCATGAATATCATTAATTTAGTTAGTGATGGACTTCTATTGGAGTCTTCAACTCTGTTTTGGGCAGCAGTGCTGGTGCTAGAGAAATAGTCGCACTAATGATATTTGGCAAGCTTTCTCTACTTGGGGTTTGAACTGACCCAGTTTTTCTCCCCAGCTGGAAACTTGAGAATCTTGCTGACTCCACTTTAGGATTTCCATGATCAATGCCCTGGGAAAATGGTCTCAACATGCTACAAATATAACTTAAGCCACAATCTTGCTTAAATATTGCTAAATCGAACATGACAGAAGACATCTTTCTTGTTTGTTGACTTACGCTGTGTCAAGGACTCCATTTCAGAAATGTCTTTTAACTGTGAGGTTCTAGGCAAACAGCTTGAGGCGACCCATTCATCTTGGCACCTGGGCACTATGTTATAAAAGTGAAAAAACAGAGAGAATGTTTGGGAGTGGATAGAAAGCCATGATTAATTCCAGACGGTCCCTAGTGAATTAAAAGTGCCAAGGATAAAAAGCCCCTTAGTTTTCTCTTCTGGGAAGAATACTGTCACCATTCAATAGGCAAGGGAAGTAAAGTTAGTGAGAATTAAGAGCTGAGCTGAAGTTTTGGTAAAGTACTTTAAAAACACCTTTAGCTAAAACAAAAAGCCAACAAACAAGTGAAAAATACAGGTGTTAGTATAGAGATCCCAAACATTTGTTGGGAGAGACTATTAAATGTGATTAGCAAACCTTCCTTGAGAACACCTGTGAGCTGATCACTACCAGCTTTAACCAGGCAAGGCATGATCACAATATACAGCAGACCAGAAGCAGCAACAGGCAAGTTTTGTTTTGTTTTTTTAAAAATATTTTTATTTTTATTATTTATTTTGGCTGGGCTGGGTCTTAGCTGCGGCACGTGGCATCTTTAGTTGCGGCATGTGGGATCTTTAGTTGCGGCATGCAGAGTCTTAGTTGCAGCATGCGGGATCTAGTTCCTGACCAGGGATGAAACCCTGCACTGGGAGCATGGAGTCTCACCCACTGGACTACCAGGGACGTCCCAAGCGATAGGCAAGTTTTACCTGGACTTATTAGAGTAGGAAGCATGGCAGTGTTCCACACCTAACCAGTGCCACCTCCTATTTTTTTTAACATCAGTCCCCACACTTCAAAATTTCTACTCACCCTTCAGCTGTGTTTTTACTGCTTCCTAACTCCTACAGCTTTACATCCAATAAGACATCAGAGTCTTTTTGATGTTTTCATCCTAATGTCACTTAGGATGTCCCTTCCTTTCTACTCCCATCACCAGGATCCAAGCCTCCATGAGTCAGGGCCAGACTGCTCGGGTCACACTGACTCATGAAGATCACCTGGGCTCAAGAGCTGCAGCTAATGGGGTGTGTGTGTGTGTGTGTGTGTGTGTGTGTGTGTGTGCATGCGTGTGTGTGTGTGTGTGTGTTTAAAAATTAATTTTTTAACATCTTTATTGGAGTATAATTGCTTTACAATGCTGTGTTAGTTTCTGCTTTATAACAAAATGAATCAGCTATACATATACATATATCCCCATATCTCCCCCGTCTTGCATCTCCCTTCCACCCTCCCTATCCCACCCCTCTAGGTGGTCACAAAGCACCGAGCTGGTCTCCCTGTGCTAGGTGGCTGCTTCCTACTAGCTGTCTATTTTACATTTGGTAGTGTATATATGTCCATGCCACTCTCTCACTTCGTCCCAGCTTACCCTTCCCCCTCCCTGTGTCCTCAAGTCCATTCTCTACATCTGCATCTTTATTCCTATCCTGCCCCTAGGTTTTTCAGAACCATTTTTTTTTTTTTAAGATTCCATACATATGTGTTCAGCTAATGGTTTTAACTCATCGTTTTAGCTCAATGAGTCATTAAGATAATGTGACTAATTACCAAATGATTAATTTTGAACTGGTGTCAGGGAATGGAATATAAAAGGCATCTTAAAATATCTGAAGGGCTATCATGGTAGTAAGCGTAATCTGCATTGCTCCAGACAATAGTTTTTTTTTTTTAAATTGTAGTTGATTTACAATGTTGTTAGTTTCAGGTGTATGGAAAAGTGATTCACTTATGTATTCTTTTTCAGATTCTTTTGTATTCTAGCTTATTACAAGATACTGAATATAGTTCTCTGTGCTATACAGTAAGTCCCTGTTGTTCATCTATTTTATATATAGTAGTTCGTATCTGTTCATCCCATCCTCCTAATTTATCCCTCTCCCCCTTTTCCCCTTTGGTAACCACAAGTTTGTTTTCTATGTCTGTGAGTCTGCTTGTTTCATAAATAAGTTCATTTGTATCATTTTTTAAGATTCCACATATAAGTGATATCATGTGATTCATCTTTCTCTGGCTTACTTCACTTAGTATTATAATCTCTAGGTCCATCCATGTTGCAAATGGCATTATTTCATTCTTTTTTTTTTAACATCTTTATTGGGGTATAATTGCTTTACAATGGTGTGTTAGTTTCTGCTTTATAACAGAGTGAGTCAGTTATACATATATATATGTTCCCATATCTCTTCCCTCTTTTTTTAAGGCTGAGTAGTATTCCATTATATATATATGTATTACATCTTCTTTATCCATTCATTAGTTGATGGACATTTAGGTTGCTTCCATGTCTTGGCTATTGTGAATAGTGCTGTAATGAACATTAGGGTGCGTGTATTTTTTTGGAATTAGAGTTTTTGTCTTTTCTGGATATATGCCCAGGAATGGAACTGCTGGGCCATATGGTAATTCTCTTTTTAGTTTTTTAAGGAACCTCCATACTGTTCTCCATAGTGGCTGTACCAATCTACATTCCCACCAACAGTGTAGGAAGGTTCCCTTTTCTCTACACCTCCAGCATTTATTTGTAGACTTTTCTGATGGCCATTCTGACCAGAGAACAGTTTCTAATGAGACGGTTTACAAAAAGAAAAGCAGGTTCAGCTTTACATAAGGAAGGAGCAACTTTTAAATAAAATACTGGCAGAAAATGGAATGAGGTAACGAGCTCACCAGCTCTATTAGCATTCTGGCATAGGCTGGATAACCACTATTGCAATGTTGCAGAGATGATTCACATATGAGATCCTTCCAAATCTGAGATCTCACAGTTCCTTGTCTCTCACCTGTCCTCCTATATCCCTCCTGCCCACTGCTATTGGAGAGGATGAATTAAATGGCGTCTTGTAAATATCACACTGCCAATGGTTTTCCCCCATTTGCTTATAGCAACGTTTCAAACACTGCTGAGCAGATTCACCTGTGAAACTTTAAAACAAAAATCTAGCTTTCCGGTTTTTTTAAAAAAATTATTTAATTTTGGCTGCACTGGGTCTTCGTTGCTGCACGTGGGCTTTCTCTAGCTGTGGCGAGCGGGAGCTACTCTTGGTTGCAGTGCATGGGCTTCTTATTGCGGTGGCTTCTCTTGTTGTGGAGCACGGGCTCTAGGCACGCGGGCTTCAGTAGTTGTGGCACACGGGCTTAGTTGCTCTGTGGCATGTGGGACCTTCCCGGACCAGGGCTCCAACCCGTGTCTCCTGCATTGGCAGGCAGATTCTTAACCACTGCGCCACCAGGGAAGCCCTTTCCATTTTTTTTTAAATCTACAGAACTAAATGTGAGGTCCTGACTGCATTTTTAAAAAAATTTGTAATGTATCAAAAAATTGCCAGTCACTGGCTAACTGTAACAAATTTGAACATATAAATAGTACAGTAAAAAGTGAAAGTTCTTTTTTCTATATTTTTTTGCACTACAACTTGCTTTTTTCCTTCATTTAATGTATTTATTTTAAAGCCCCCAAAGTGATTCTTATTATTTAAAATTAGTATTTATTTACTGAAGTGGTATTACCTGTACCTCACAAAATTCAAAAGGAACAAAAAGGTACAAACTAAATTTCCTTCCTTTCCCTAACCACGTTCCTTGCCCAGGAGGCAAGCCCTGTACTCTGTCTTCCGCAGGCCATTCTGCTCTGCAGCCAGGCTGGTAAACAGGATGAAGCCCACTGCTCAGCCTGGCACTGAAGGTCCCCATCACCTACATTCTTCAGTGATATCTTTAACCATCCTTGTACAGAAGCTCTCTGCTCCAGCTGGCCTAACCTGAATCACCACAACAGGCAAGTCTCTGCCACTGATTAATTACTTTTAACAAGTTCTGTCTCATGCAAGGAGTTCATGGAGGCGTTTGGTTGGGGAATCCACAAAAATGATTATGGGAAAGTGCTGTGTGTGTGTGTACGTGTATGTGCATGTTTCTGGGAGAGATCCTCAGAGGGACCCACAGGCTGTAAGTGGTTAGAAAATGGTGTAATATAACGTTAGAACTGTTAACAAAATTAAAAATCGCCTAGTCTATAATCTTCTCAATTTACAAATGAGGAAACTGAAAACCAGTAAACATTTCTTATAGGCACAAATGAAACACAAGTGAGTAAATCAACTAACCAGAGGTACACAGCTTATTGACTGGCTAAGATTATTTAAACTCTGTCTTCGTTTACCATGAGGCTGGGACCAGAACCCGGTGTTCCCGACATCCAGCCTGGGCTCCTGCACCACACCATGAAACCTCCCTCCCTGAAATGTCCTCCAATTGCTCTAAGCTCTTCCCTTTCTTCAAGGCCCAGTCACTTTAAAACCTGGTCCAGTGGCCCTACCTGGCAACCAGCGTTTACGAATGTCATTAAAAAAATAAGTTTCACTGAGGTAATTCACATACCACAGAATTCACCCTTAACTTTAAAGGGTACAGTTCAGTGTTTTTAGTATACTTAGAGTTGTATAATCATCACCACTAATTCTAGAACATTTTCATCATCCCCCAAATAAACGTCTTACCCACTAGTGGCCCACTCCCCTACCCCTCCCACCCACAAACCACTAACCCCCTTCTGCCCCTACAGGTTTGCCTATTCTGGACATTTCATGAATAGAATCATATGAACATGTGGCCTTTTGGTCTAGCTTCTTTAACTTAGCATAAGGTTTTCAAGGTTCATCCATTTTGTAGCATGAATCAGTAGTTAATTCCTTTTCATCGCTAAGTAAGATTCCACTGTATGGATATACCATATTTTGTTTATCCATTCCTCATTTGATGGATATTTGGGTTGTTTCTACTTTTTGGCTATTATGAATAATGATGCTGTGAGCATTCAGTGTACAAGTTTTTGTAGGGATATGTTTTCAGTTCTCTTGGGTATATACCTAGGAGTGGAACTGCTGGGTCATACAGTCTCTCTACATTTAACCTTCTGAGGAACTGCCAGACTGTTTCCCAAAGTGGCTGCACCACATCACATTCCCACCAGCACTGTTCCAATTCCTCTGATCCTTGCCCCCACCCATTAGTGGATTACATCCATGCTACTGATCATGAAGTTGTGTCTCACTGTATATATATTTTTAATTTGAATGTTTTCTCATGTGGTTTTGATTTGTATTTCCCTAATGACTAATTTAAGCTGAACATCTTTTCATATGCATATTGGTCATTGTATATCTTCTCTGGAGAACTGTCTGTTCAAATCCTTTGCCCATTAAAAATCTGGACTCATATTTTATAAGACATCACTCGCTATTCGGCTTCAGTTTAAGCTTATGGGCCTGGGATTTTAGGAGCAGCGAGGGTCATTCACGTTGTCCAGAAGGTTCTATTTTCTGGGAAACAATAAGAATTCCTCCCCATTGCTAATAAAGATTGACACTGGGCACAAATGTTAATAAACGCGCTATCGTTGGCACACTCACCTGCTTCCTACTTCCTGGTGCCTCGCTTCTAGGCTCTGAGTGACAAACCAATGCCGAGCACTTGCAATCAACATGCCGTTTTCCTAATTATAGCTGCTTATCCTCCAGTTTTAGGATTAAGTGACACAGATTTAATCTGTACACCCTGATTAAGGCGATGATCAAATCCTTACACATTTGCCTTTTGAAAAATGAATGATTATTAACCAAACTATCTCTCATTGGTGAAATTTAGGAACGTTGAAAAAACGTAGGTGGCGTGGCAGGAAGGCACCCTGGAGGCGGAAGGGCCACATGTAGGAAGACTACGAATGCAGGGAGCTTTTTGCAGTTTCTTTCCTTCCCAATTTCTAAATTTGTAGGTTCTCCAAAAGTCTCACATTTCTTTTCTTTCTAATGTCGGGGTAAGTGTGACAGGGTTAGGGAGAAATGGCAGCTCCAGTGGTTTGTGTCTTTTAATTTGTGACATTCTGCTCCCCACTTCCCCCAAGGGCTCCGGGCGCTATTTGGGACCTAAACCCAAAAGCATGAGAGGTAATGAGGGGTTTCAAAAGCAGCCTAATTAAATGATGATAGCATCTAACCTCTACTTTTGCTTTTCAATTTGTGCACTACGAAAGTAATTACAAAGGTAATGCACAGAGCAGCATTAGTCATAAAAGCCCAAAAGTGGACATAACCCAAATGTCTATCAATTGATGAACGGATAAATAAACTGTGGAATAATCATACAATGGAATATTATTCTGCATTAAAAAGGAGTGAAGTACTGATATATGCTACAACATGGTTGAACCTCAAAACATTATGCTAGTGAAAGAAGTCAGACACAAAGGACCATGGAGTATATGGTTACATTTATATGAAATTTCCTGAATAGGCAAATCTACAGAAACGGGTAGATTAGTGTTTGCCAGGGGCTGGGGGGAGTGGCAGGAAATGAGGAGTGATTGCAAATGGCCAAGGGGTTTATTTGGGGCTGTGAAAATGTTCTAAAATCGATCGTGGTGATGGCTGCACAACTCTGAATATATTTTTTAATATATGGTAATACAATACTGTTGAATTACATATTTTTAACAGGTGAATGGTATGGCATGTGAATTACATATCAGTAAGGCTGTTATTTTAAAAAGTAATACATAAACATTTTATAAAAGACTGAAACAATACAAGATATAGTAAAACAGAAGTTCCCTGTAAAGGTACTCTATTTTAGAATTTTAAATTATTATTATTATTTTGGCCATGCCATGGGGCTTGTGGGATCTTAGTTCCCCAACCAGGGATTGAACCCGGGCCATGGCAGTGAAAGCGCTGAGTGATAACCACTGGATTGCCAGGGAATTTCCAAGAATTTTAAATTAAAAGTTTGATTTTTCATTGAATGCCACTGTAAGCCTTGCACCAAAACCTAATGTTTGATTAGATCCTATAATAAGTTTCCTTGTGTTACTTTAATAAAACTGTTGTTCTGAGGACCAGCTATTGGCAAAGCACACATTTTTACTAAAATTAACTAGAAATAGCACTTTGGGAACAAATCATAGTCTAGTACATTAAGGGGATGCCAAGGACCGTGGAATAAAACAATTCTACAGGATGGCTGAGAAATTTTTCTTAATTGGAGGTTTTTTTTTTTTTTTGCAGTGAGTGGGCCTCTCACTGTTGTGGCCTCTCCCGTTGTGGAGCACAGGCTCCGGACGTGCAGGCTCAGCGGCCATGGCTCACGGGCCCAGCCGCTCCGCGGCATGTGGGATCCTCCCGGACCGGGGCACAAACCCGCGTCCCCTGCATCTGCAGGCGGACTCTCAACCACTGCGTCACCAGGTAAGCCCGCTTTTTTTTTGTTTTAAACAGCCCCACCTCCTCATCCCACCCTTTTAGCTGAGCAATAATTTGACTAAAAGTGCCAAAATACATCTCAGGGATTTATCCATGATAAGAGACCACAGTAAATGAATGAAGGTGTAACACCATGAAGGGAGAGAGAAGCATTCACGATGCTCACCTTTATGATACGGATGTTGAGCATGTATCTCATTCTCTAGGAACCACGTTCCAGAGGCATCTGAAAGAGCAGCAGCTTTCTTTTCTGATTTCAAATGACAGGCTTGTTCTTCAGCTTCCTCCCACTAAATACAAATAAATGAAAAAAAAAATCACATAAAAATTGTGCTAATGCAAATTCCTATAGTGAAGCAGCCCCTTTTGTCTCCTCTATATTTCCAAGGCACGTAGGATTTATTTGCTATTAGGGAATTTGGGTGCCTGTCTTGGCTCAAGGCTGTTGAAGAACCTTGAAAGCAGAGGCACTTTTGATGTCCCTACTATTCAATTCCTCAGAGAGCCATACAGGTCCCAACTGTCACTGAAATAACAATTCATTCCAATACATTTCAGATCTCAAACCTTATGGGACTGAGTTTTTAAAATTAATGGATGGAAAGGTATCCTTGAGAATGAAAGACATGCTCCAGGAAATAGTGCAGAAAGTTTGAAGGGGACGGTTTTTCTGATGACCTTGGAGCCAGGATACCAACCGTGGACTGCCCACCTCCAGACTTTTCATGTGAAAAAGAAAAATCCTTCTATCTTGCTTATAGTTACTGTTATTTTGGTTTTTGTTACTAATAGCTACATATAATTCCTAACTGTTCAAAGTCTTTTACGTTGCTAGTATAAAATATTAGGTAAATTAAAGTAGTAATATTATACAATCAGCTAGAACAAATCCACGAGGTTGGGAAGTTGAGACACTAATGTAACTGAGAAAGACACTTAGTCATTCTTAGGTGGCATCAACATTGGACTTCTCTGAGCACTACGTATTAAAATTAGATCATCTTTGATCTTTTCAAACACAAATTATGTGGTTTGATGCTATTGCCATTTGATTATTTCAAGATTTAAATGATTAATAACAAGAAGTTGATAACACCATTCTTACCTTTTTAGCTTCCCCCTCCATCACTGCGTTTAATACTTCCATTTCTTTCTTCCTATTTTTCCGAAGCAGTTTGGCTACTTCCTGGTAACGTTCATTTCGGTGTAGATCAGCGCGTTTTTGTTTATGTAGAGCTTGAATTCGCCAGTCAGTATTTAGACATGCTTGTTCAGCTTTTGCCAAATTTTCTTCAATTAACTAAGAACAATTCGTAAATTTCAGAAACAAGTTTAGACTACATAAAATACGGTATGTCCATTCAACGTATCCAAGTGTCCAGGACAGATGTTCACAACCCTGGTTGCATATTAGAATCATCTCAGTGTTTAAAACAAACTGATGTCCAGGCTCCACCATGTGTTTAAAACAAACTGATGTCCAGGCTCCACCACAAACCAACTAAATCAATCTCTTTATCAGCTGGATATTGGTACTTCTAGAAAGCTCTTCAAGTGGTTCTAATGTATAGCCAAGGTTGAGAACTTCTAGGCTAAGGGATGGGTGGAATTAAACAATTCCTATGTTTTAGTCCTTTGAAAAGGAGTCAGAAGAACCTATTTTTACAGACTGGACAAAAGCCTATAAGGAAAAAAAAGGGGGGAGGGGATATTCTGGGGGGGGGGGAGCCAAGGGACAGAACAGAAGGTAGGGAAATCTTACACTATTCCTGGCTTTTGGGACACAGACCCATTTAACATTTCGTTAAAGGGATAACTGACAAAGTTCTATGCTGAAGCCCTCAAATTCTATTTCCATTCATTTAAGCCAGCATTTCTGAAAGGATACTCCACAAGAAATTCTATAAAATAAGTTTAAGAAAATTTCTTAAAGATTCACAATGTGCCATATCCTCAAACCTGGCATGGAAAAACCTAACTTTAAGACAGCATTTTCAATACTTGTCATCCCCATTTTATTTAATACTAGTTATTGATATTCTACAGAATACACTTTGGAAATGCTGGCTTATATACCAGGCAGAGACCTGATGTTTTGCAACTGATCCACTCAGGGATAATTTCGGAGACTTAACAATGTAGGGCACTAAAATTTATAAAGTTATTCCCTATGTATTTTCTTCCAAGTCTTGACATTCTCAAAGAGTATAAAAGACACATGTATATGGCTGTCAGTGAAGTAAGTAGCCTCTAAATATAATAATGTGAGTTTCTAGGAACTGTGATAACTGAAGCAAAGAAACAAATTAACTTTATAGAGTTAAATTCCTTCTTTTAAAAGAATGGCAGATGGTAATTCCTCCTTCTACAGATATACTAAATTTATCATATTTTTACCTTCTGAGTTTTTTGGTTCTGAGTTTGATCTGTTCCTATCGGTCTATGAAACATGTGTTCTTCAAGATCCACTTTTCGTTTATAGGCGTCTGCATCTTCTCTCATTTCGTTTGCAATAGCTTCTTGATTTCTAGTGAGATTCTGTTAAAGAAATCATTAAAAAAAAATCACCAATCCATATAATAATGATGCTAGAACACAAAAACGTCTTTGCTCTTTTTCAGAATACCAAAACTGTAATCATCTAATTTTCAAAGTAAAGCAAACAGTGGTGACATCAGTGGAAATAAGAGTAAGGACCTCTGAAAATTCTCTCATCTATAAAAGCACTGAGATCACTGGCAAAACAAACTTTTTCAGAACTCTGGAAATTAACTGAAGGCTTACAGCAATCTGGGGAGCACTTATTCATAAAAATGGCTGAATCTTAGTAAGAAAGACGAACTTTATGGCATTTTAAACTTGCATTATTCCTACTCCATGCCACCCCTAAGCTCTGCCATTAGCTTTGAAAATCATTAGCCTGGCAGCCAATGGAGGGGACAAAATGGAGTTGAGGTCCTTCTAACTCCCATTCCCAGAGAACTGTGATCATCTGACTTGGAAGACCCCACTTTCAAGGCTGTTTTTATTTGACCTGACTCATAACTCACCTGTAGCCTTTTCCCTGGGGATGTCTGCTGAAAACAATCAGGGGAAACTGTTGAACATCGTGACCGTCCGAGGCAGTGGATCACAGAGCAAACAACAGGCCAATCAAAAAGCTTTGTAGGAAAAGCTGGGGAATCAGATACCTAGAGGGGGCTCTGAAATGCTCCAATAGATTCCTGGGACTTCAGAAGGCCGTGTGCATGTGTCAAAAATGTGCACGTGCCAAGGGCTGTGTGAATGCTCAAACCTGAGAAGGTCCTAAGTGCTCAGCTCTGGTCAACTGAGGTTTTGCAAAATCAGGAAGTGAAATCTAAGAGAGTTGTAAACTATCTGAGTGTTGTAAGTGTGCCCGAAAAAAATGATGCACACGGTGCCTCTCGGCAAAGACTAGAGGCTTTACTGGTTCAAGGGATCTAAGGAAATCTCTGTCTGGTCACCAGGCTACCTGAGTAGAGACTTCAGTGGCTACGCATGACAAAGAACACTTTACAGAATAATTCAGAAAAGTCACTAAGCCAAGAAACAACAAGAAACCCTTGGGAGAGAAAAGAATGTGATTTCCAGAAATGTCCTCTTACTTAAAATAGCTAGTTTTCAACAAAAAATTACACGATATAACAAAAACCAAGAAAGTATGGCCCTACATGCTTTAAACAGACATTAACCACATGATCTCCAAAGAAGATATAAAAACGGACAATGAACATATGAAAAGGTGCTTGATATTAGTCATCAGGTAAACAACAAATGCTAATTAAGGAACATTCTACAATATATCTGGCCTATATACTTCAAAAGTATAAATGTCATAAAATATAAAGACAAGACTCAGGAATGGTTCCAACTGAGAGGAGAATAAAGAGACATGACAACTGAAACAAATGGATTAGCTTAGATTTTCTTTTGCTATGAAAGACGTGTTTAGGACAACTGATAAAATGTGAATACAGTTTATACAACAAATAATAAATAATATGTTAATGTGCTGCTTTTGATCATTGTACTGTGATTATGTAATAAGGATTCCTTGTAGAAAATATACAATGACGTATTCAGGGGTAAAAGTGCATCATGTCTGCAACTTACTCAAACAGCTCAGGAAAAAAAAATGTGTGTGTGTATAGACAGAAAGAGAAGGATAATGCAAATTTATCAAAATGTTAATATTTGAGAATCTGAGAGAAAAACACTTTGAAATTTTTAGTATTTTCTTGCAAAATTTCTGTTAATTCTGAAATCATGCCCCCGGTGCCACCACTCCGCAGAAAAGACAGTAAAAAATAACCTCAAGCTTAGTTCAAATGAATGAATTCTAATTCAAAATCATAGGAGACTTAGTGTAAATTCCTGGGGCTCAGATTTAGAAAAAGTTCAGTGTAGAAACTTAAAGTGTTTTAGTTATGAATGGATGCTATGTTTTAAATCTTATTTAATGTGAGCAACAAACAATCATATGCAAGTTACCTGTTACTTATTTGTAGTTATCGCTAATTTCAAACTCTGTCTGACTTTAAGAGGACTGAAGGAAGTGAAAACGTGGTTTCAACATTAAATAAATGAGTAACATAATGCTTTTCCCCAACAAAACATATCTACAGCAGTAATAAAGTCTCCTTTTCCAGTGTCTTGGAAACTGAATTATACGTGCTAAAGTAGGTACTTGCTGATTTGATTCCAGAAGATTCAAATTTAGAGTGCTTTCCAGCTCTTATCTGACTTACCTTGTAGGATCTTTGTGAAGCACTTGGTTAATTTTGCAGTCACTATTACACAGATATAAGAAAACTTAGTAAGTTAGTAAAAGATCCTGAGGCAAAATCTGGGGCTTACATCTGGTGCTTCAGACACTAGACTAAGTTGTTAAGAGAAACATGAATTAAAGAATTACAACAAACTGTGCATTCAGACATTCTGGCTACCTTACAATCCTGGATAACACTGTACTTTTCTTGAAAAAAAAACAAATAAAATGAACATTAAAAAACCTTGAATAAACTGTCTAAAAATAGTTCGTACAAACTCTGCTTTTCTTATATTGGAAATTGTTGATTTATACCTTCTCATAAAGTCTTTTTTGTGATTCGAGTTCCAGATGTCTCATTTCTAGGTCTTTGGCTGTGGCAGCAATTTCTCGATCTCTCATATGTACCTACGGCCAAATAACAAACTGTGAATACCAAAAATAATTTACAAAAATATTTTTTGTTTAATAGATTTAGTAATCTTGTAATAAGAACAACCCGCTAAATGCATTTAAAATAAGAGGTATTGGGTTTTTGAAACCAGAGTAATTGCCAATCTATTAACATTCACTGTGGAATCTAGAAATAATGTCTGAGTTAAAGTTAAGCATAATTTTCTAAAAAAGAAAACACAATTACCATATGCTCATCTGCCCAGACTGGGAGAACAGATGGCAGTTCTTTCCATATTACATTAGCCATATTATGAGTTAGAAAAACTTGAGCAATTTAAATTCACAGTGGATAAAAATATAAAATGTTTAATCTTATTCGATATAACATTTATTTAATGTTCTTTTTGATTAAACTTCTATACTTTTCTAAATTCGGTTTGGCAACTAGTAATTTCAAGTTACAATTTACTGTGGACTGTTCAACCTGTATGTGCCCTGCTTGGACTTGGCCAATTTAAAGTTCACCTTTCTCAAAATCTGATTACTTGGGAGCTTTTCAGTCCTATACACTAGAAGGATTTGGATCAGGAACTCTTTAGATAGAGACTCCTGGGAACTGTCTTAAATACTTGGCTGCCTAAAATGCTCATTCTTTAGGAGTGAGAATAACATGATATGTGTTTCAGAACAAAACAAAACAAACTATAACCCATGAGGCATCTAACCTAATCATTTCATCCAACCAGTAAAGGGTTAATGATTGCATTACTACTTACACGCATAAGGCAAAGTGTTAGCTATTGTAGACAAACTATCAAATACATATAATCAGAGAAACAAACAGTAAAAATGAGAGTATAGTGGGATGTGCAAGGACATGCATCCAAGGAGTAAAATAACCACGGACTGAAAACCAGCTCGCCTTAAAGAGGTTCCTGAGAAAGCAGTTAGCTCAGAGGTGGGGATACCTGAGTTGATGAAGCAAGAGTAGTTATAATGCTAAGAGGTGGAGGAGACGTTTGGCATAGCAAATAATGCTTTTCAGGAATTTCAATTACAGAAGCTCTTCTGCTCTTGAATTTTCAGAGATACAAACAGCTATGTACCAGAGCAAAACAGATCAACTTTGCTTGCTACTAACAGATGTCTGTGTCACTTGTACGTGTCACTTTGGACTCAAGCAGCCTTTCCTGCTGGCGCCTGAACGGTGAGTAGAGAAGCTTCTGCTATTTAGCAGGGTCAGAGCTCACTATCAGACCAGGGAGATGGAAGGGCAGGAGGCTGGAATGGGAGGCAGAGGCCAGATCGTGCCACTGAAAGGACTTGACAGGATTCTTTCACCAAAAAAACTGCCTTCCACTATCTCAAAGGGGTTTGGAATAAGAGATCAGAGTTCTAAGCCTGTATTACTTTTGGAGAAGAACACAGATTTTCTAGAATAATGAATTACCAACCTCATTTACTAGATGAGACAGTTAAAAGAAATCATGGATTTTAAAAACCAACTTAAAGTTAACTGGCTTTAAACAAAACCAAGTATTATCTCATGCTATAAAAAGAGATAATAGATTATTAATATAGATGAATGAAAATCTTAAGAAAAATTTAAATATTTACTACTTTATCAAAAGCAAGTTTGAAAGTCCTTAATTAGTTTACAAATTCAATGCAATCCTAATAAAAATTCCAATAGGATGGGGGGATTCAGAGAGAGAGAGAGAGAGAGAGAGAGAGAGAGAGAGAGAGAGCGGGAGAGATAAAATTTTCAAAGTCTATTTGAAATGATAAACATTTGAGAATACTGAAGAAAACTCTTTTTTTTTTTTTTTTGCGGTACGCGGGCCTCACACTGTTGCGGCCTCTCCGGTTGCGGAGCACAGGCTCCGGACGCGCAGGCTCAGCGGCCATGGCTCACCGGCCCCGCC